ACAATGTGTGAACTCTTATAGGAGATATGATGAGAAAGATAAGGAAAGAAATACAATGGGAAAGAATAATTCTAATTGATCTAATCTTGATTCAGTCTTGATCTCTTTCCTTATTAATCTGATCTCCAAATCTTGTCCTTTCCAATAACTATTAGATCAATCATCAAGTTTAAATAGCTCTCTTGTTGCCAAATATTCTAGGACTTCTCACCTCATCATAACACGATATCCGAGCTTCAAGAGCTTGGCCTTAAGCCGTCACACCCAATGAACAACACTTGAGCTCCAAGATCTCAGACTTAAGCAGTCACACACAATGAATAACACCCGAGTACCAAGAGCTCGGACGTAAGCCGTCACACCCAATGAACAACCCTCAAGCTCCAACAGCTCGGACTTAAGCCGTTACACACAATAAATAGCACCCGAGCTCCAAGTGCTCAGACTTAAGCCGTCTTGCCCAATGAAACGCATCCGAGCTCTAAGAGCTCGGACTTAAGCCGTCATACCCCTTTAGATTACATGAATTGTCCACACTTGGAAAAAGAATGAGCAAAAAAATCTTGCAAGAACAGACAATTTTTAGAAAACAACATATTCATTCTTCCACATCTCAGCATGTCGTACACCATCCATAATATGTATATATATAACCTTAAAAGTATTACTTCTAGAGGTTTGCTATATTCCAAGGTCGTAATAGGACCTCTTCTTCTTTATCCTTCAGCCCGTATGCTCTTCAGCAATCACCATCTGAATGGTATATGACCCTTTCCCAGTTAGGTTCAAGTTTTCCCATGTGCTTCAACATATCTTATCTCCTCCGGACTAGGTATCCTACCTGAAATCATCTCAGTTTCACCTTTTTGCATGAGCAAGAGTCATCTTCTTTTTGAATTGTGTAGTCTTTGTCCAAGCATGTTCACGTGCTTCATCATCCAATTCAAGTGCTCTTTTGCCAGCTCCTGATTTTCTTTTGGTACAAAGGTTGATACTCATTACGAGCTAAGACCCACTTCGGCTGGAACAATTGCGCTTCCATTGCCTAAACCAAGCTGAAAGGTGTTTCTCCCATGGAAGCTCTTAGCATGGTCCTAAATACCAACAAAATAGTGTCTAGCTCATCCATCCAAGGTCCTGAAGCTTTGTCCAACCGAGTCTATAACCCCATTAGTATAGTGCGATTTGCCAACTCCACTTGCCCATTTGCTTGAGATGAGCTACAGAAGAAAAATGTTGTTGAATCCCCATCTCCACACACCAATCTTGTATCTTTCTCCTTCGAAATTAAGGTCCATTATACGAGAGATTCTTTACCTGTAGCAAATGTTGGTAAAGTAGAACTTAATGACCTTTTCCCACTGTGATCTCAGTCATCGTCTTGGCTCTATCCACTTGGTAAAGTAATCCACCACTACCAACAGAAATCTCCTTTGACCTGTGCTTTGCGGCAGAGATCCCATAGTGTCCATTCTCCACTGAGCAAACGACAAAGGCTAGCTCATCACGACTAGCTCCTCCACAGGTCGGTGGATAATAGTTTGTGCTGTTGACAATTAATATACTTCTGAACTAGCTCCTTTGCCACAACTCTCATTGTTGGTCAGAAATATCCAGCTCTCAACACTTTTCATACCAACGCACAAGCTTTGATATGATCTCCACAACAGCCTTCATGAACCTCTTTCAAAACATACTCCCCATCTACCTCTGAGATACACCTAAAATGTGGCCCTAAATATAATTTTGTAAATCACCCCATCTTAATCGGATAGCTCTCCTACCAAGCTTATCCATTTGTAGGTCCATCGCATTATGTCTAGTTCCCTCTAACGACTTAATTAAGGAGCTCCTCCAATATTACCTTTCTTCAACTTTCATATCTGGGTCCAAAATGTTTGACCCCATCTGCATAAGAGTAGCAACCTACAATCTACAAACAAAGCTGCAACTTTTGACTGTAGTTTTGCCATGTTGTTCTCCATTGGTGGAATCCAGATAAGCTCTCATGACTCAAAACCTTTAGCCGAAGTCCGCACCTTAACTGTATACCTTAGGCTTATATCTTCCTTAGCTTCATATTCGCTTCTACTCTGCTCGACCACCAAGTGTGAGTCCAAATGGATAACAACTTTTCTAGCCCCTTCACCCGTAGCCAACTGCATACCTTTGAGCAATGCTTGATATTCCGCCTCGTTATTAAAAGCTCTAAATGATAGCTTTATCGCAAACTCCAATGGCTCTCCCTAAGGTGTTAGTATCAAGATCCCAAATCATGCACCCGACTTTGTCGAAGAACCATCCACGAAGACCTCCCTGGTGCCGAGCTCCACTTCCATTGTACCCTCCTGGATGAAATCTGCCAATGCTTGAGATTTTATCACGTGACTTGGTTCGAACTCCTAGCTCCATAACCCACTTAATTATCCAACCTTGAGTCGAATTTCTTCCCAGATTCTCCATGATATAAAGTGATAGAAAATAAGGTTTCAACTTCTAAGTTGTTATTATTAGGGCTATACTACTTTCTCGACCTCTGTGTACTTCGTCTTTTCTCCTTGGAAAAGTCAACTTATATAATAAATTGGTCGTTATCGACAATATCCTTCCTTCACTTATACAAAAGAGGCTTCTTCGCTTATAGTGTTTCAAGTTTTTCAACCCTTTCTAATAGTAGTAGTTGATACTTTATATTCTTATCTAATATTAACTCACCACGACTTTTTTATAGGACTGCATTTTGCACCGATGATAACTCAATAGAGGCAACTTGAATTACTTATAAAAAAAATTCAAGTATATGAAATATGAGTAATGTTCCCCTACCCACGGTGGACACATGTTAATATGCCCACCGACTCATGTGGCATGCTCACATTGGTGATGTCAATATGTTCAAAAAAATACATTACCAATGTGTGCATGTCACATAAACGGTGGACATATTAATATGTGCCCTCCGTGGGTAGGAAAGCATTATTCTATGAAATACATGCTATAAGATCAAATTTCTTTATTAAGTGTTATTGATCATATATATGCAACTTATGTTGTTCTAAAAAATAAGTAATTAACTTTTTTTTGTTAAATACAATTATAATAAAATTTGATACCATATGCAACAAATAATAATAATAATAATAATAATAATAATAATAATAATAATAATAATAACCACTAATGTTAAAATACAAGTTCCTCTCTTTTTTTCTTTTCTAAATCACCGATGTCACGACCAATTTTCTAATAGTAAAGAAATTGAAATATAAATATCATAGAAATTTTTATTAATTTTATGTGCTTTGGCTACACGGGACGAGTGAACGAGTCGAGTTGTGGTTTTTTGCACTAAACCCGAACCTGAACAGACCCGAGGCTCGAGCAGTAAATCTATACCCGAACCAAACCCTAAATCCGCAAAATCCAAGTATATCCAACCCGAAAGTGCGGATAACCCCATCTTATAAATTTCATTGACATCTCTACTGCAGGCTAGCCACTCTAGTCCCGCTACAAAAAATTCAGCCCAAACCGCCCCTAATGCAGGGCAGGGCTTCCCAAGCCCATTTTAGTAGTTCTAATGCCTATTATCATGTCCTTCAAATAGATCCAAAATAGAGATTTGTCTCTTTCTTGTCTCATGTCATATCAAATTAACTAAAAGCTCGTTTTGTTTGCATTGGAAATACTCACTATGTCTGAATTTCTGTATGAAACTTGACTTATTTCCCAAAATAGACCAATTGGAGATGATGTTAGTCAATGTGGGATAAAAAAGTGATACTTTTTTATGCGCAGCACACGCACAAGTTAATTTAGTACTTTCCGTTTGATATCTTAAACATGGAAGGAGCATCTTTGATACACAAGGTACACATCAATGAACATCCCATTGTTGATAGGGCTATCGACGTGTGCAAAAATGGCGTTTACAGTTTTCACGAATCGAACATACAGTGAATTGATGTGTTTGAGTGCTATAAATTTGAAGAATAATTTTCATATACAATAATTGTGTACTTATCTAGTCTTCTCCTCCGTATATATACTCTGTTGGATACATTAGCCTGGACAGTGGATTTGCATGTAAACTGAATGTTGTCTTGAGTTGTTCCCCCCGAAAGCTGAAAATAATCGATGGCTACACTTTCGCGCTCTGTCCTGCAGCTTTTGCCTACAATGTGACATTTGAACGGAATCAGGTGAAACACAGAAAGCTGATCAAGTTAACACAAAATATACGCATTTTATGAAAGTAATGGACAATAATAGCTACAGAAACAAGGGGCAACAAGAAAGAATTCCAATCATCTTGCACTGACACAGTTTGAAGAGTAAACATAGGTTTTTTAGAGACTTTTCAAGATTTTAGAAATCTTGATGTGTTTAAAGTCTTTTGAGTTATTCAAATTGAGATTTTAAAAAGTGTTGAGGTATTTATCTTAGGGTGTAGTCATTTCGATCTATAAAGACTGAGATTTTAAGAATCCAAGTGTGTTCGTTTGAGATTTTAAAAAGTGGTATTCATTTGGGATTTCAAAAAGTTTAAAGTTACAAGGTATTCAACTTATTTAGTACTTGGATTTATCTAGATTTATTAATACTTTCAGGGATTTCAAAAGATAAAATAAACAAGATCCCATCCCAAATCTCACCTCCAAACATGAGATTCCAAAGGATTTCATTTAAATTTAAAAATCTTAAAAAATATCAGATTTTAAAAATTCGTAAATGTCACTTAAAATCCGAAACAAATACATCACTTAACACTGGGATTTGTCGGGACTTCTTAAGATTTGCTTAGATTTCAAACACAAATTACATATATCAGAAGTTTTAAAAAGTTACTTATAGAATCTCAAATGAATACACCCTGCTTAGTTTATACAAATCAATTGAGTCATACCTTTTTCAGATATTTCTTGTGGAGTTTCATGGCACCAGTGCAAGCCTTTTTAGCATCGAGGTTACCAGTAATGTCGTTTAGAATCTGAAAAAATTCAACATGAAAAGCTCTTTGATCAGTATTATAACCCTGTTAATCTATTAACATTTGCCGAAAAGCTCTGCAATGTTGTGTTTCCATTTTACTATCTCTTATGTTATGAAAAAAAAAATTAATAATAATAAAAAATAAATCAACTTCATTAAAAGAATAAATAAACTAAAGTAAAAGTAATAGCAGTGGTGGAGCTAACCTTCACCACATCATCTAAGCCGCGGGCTTCTGTCAGCAACTTTGTACTCCTTTCCTTGAGGACGCTGGCTACAAGAAAAACTGAGATTGGGAGAGGAGCAATATCTCCATTTCTCATGTTTTCCCTTTCGAATTTTCCGCATTGCCTTCTCGACTTTGCCCTGTCTTTAGATTTCTCTGATTTTTCACAACCAGAATCACTATCCTCGTACATGGTAAATAAATAAGGATCATACTCCAAGGCCCACATCATCTGTTAAAAACACAGTTTGGGAAAGAGGATAAGTTAATCGATAATATATGGTTATTAAGAATGCAAGTGTTTAGTTATTTTACTTTATTTTCAAAATATATAGTGAAAATATAAAAGTTGAAGTATGGAAAGAGGAAAGATGCAACAGCAAAAAATTCACCTCCCAAAGGTATAACGAGTCACCAAAAGAGAATTCTCGACGGAACAATACCATAAGCATTCGGAAAGCAAATAGATAATCTCCCCCACCGAGGGCTTCTGTTCAAGAAAAAATAAAAATATTTTTTTTACGTCCATATAGAACTTGCTTGAGAGAGAGAGAGTTGATTATTATCATCTCATAGTGAGCATAGACAATTAGAAACCATGAATATATCATCTTTTGACTAATAAATAATATTGATCTACACATATTCAATTTGGAAGGTGAATCTATGGAGAAAGAACACTACCTAAGTGCTGATGAAGTTTAGGATCAACAACTTGTGTTACTGAAGCAAGATTAACAAGTTGCAACTCCACTCCTACAGAGCTGTCAGTGCACCTGAAATTCCCTCTCTTAAGAGGAACATCAACAAAAGAAAAATATTATAAGCTGAAGCAGCTTAAAAAAAATAAAAAATAAAAAATAAAATAAACAATTGAATGACTGAATAAAATTCAATTTACTCCAAGATTGAGATATTAATGGTACAGATGAATCAAAATCTTTCAATTTCACCAGACTAACTACTAGACTAACAACTGTACAGATCATTCATTCTTCAAAAGGCACTACAATAATTTATGTGTACACACACACACAGAGATATATATATATATGTATACATATATATACATATATATATATATATATA